ACAAAGTGCCATCAATTTTTTTTAAAAAAATCTCCCCATAAAACAATAATAAAACATTTTCATATAGTTTGGGTATAATCTTGGAATTTCACAAACTGGGAGGGAAATCTTATTTCGAAGCACAACCATTCTTAGCTCTGCCCTCCACACTGATTAAGTGAATCTTAAGGAGCAACAGAACTAAGGAATCAATACTTTCTGGCAGTGGTGAGTTTCTACCGCCCACCCACTCGGATGTCATCACGGACACTCTGCGCATGCACAAAAGGTTCTGCACATGCGCAGAAGCACCACATGCGAGCAAAGTGAGCTTGCACACGCATGCGCACTCACAGTTCCGAACCGGTAGTGAAGGTAAGTTGAACCCACTACTGCTTTCTGCCAATTTAGTGTCTATTTCCCTGGTTTGATACAGCCACTAACCTAGATAGCTTAACTGGATAACTTCATACATACCCATGTAGATTCAAGGTGCTGGTGATTACCTATAAGGCCCTACATGGCTTAGGCCCGGGATATTTGGGGGACCATCTGCAGCCAGCAACAGCTTCCCATCACTCGGTGCGTTCTCACAGAGAGGGCCTCCTCAGGGTGCTGTCGGCCAGACAGTGTCGACTGGCGACCCCCAGGGGGAAGGCTTTCTCTGTGGGCACGCCTACCCTTTGGAATCAACTGCCTCTGGAGCTCTGGGTGGCCCCCGACCTCTGCGCCATGACCTGAAAACGTGGCTGTTTCATTTGGCCAGCCTGGACTGATGGGGTTTTAATTCTAATTTAATTTTAACTTGTTAGTCTTAATTTTACTTTTAACTGTTAAATTATGAGATTTGGATTTAATTTTTTAACTTTTTATTAGATGTTTCTTAACTGTTGTGAGCCGCCCTGAGTCCAGCTGGAGATAGGGCGGCATATAAATTTCATTAATAAATAAATAAATAAATGTAACATGGGCTATTTGTCTCAATGATTTAGTAGGTTGGGCTAGCATTCTTCCAAATATTAGTTGCAGGGAAATAATAGTGGGAGAAGATTATGTCTTCAACTTCTTTGCAAGCACCCCAGGGGCAGCTGGTGGTCTACTACAAGAAACAAAATGCTGGTGTAAGATGCATCTCATTCTGATCCAGGACAGAATGGATCGTTAGCCAAATCCAGCAGGATTGTGTGGGGTAATGTTATACTTAGGTTGTATCTATTACTTTCCCGCCAAAGTGGTGCCTATATATCAGTGGTAAAATGTAAAATTTGTTACTACTGGTTCTGTGGGCATGGCTTGGGGGGATAATGTGACTGAGTGGGCATGGTCAACTCTTTTTTTTTTACTTTTAAAAGCATTTTTTCTACAATCTCTTTGGCCAAAGTGGTTGTAGAAAAAAAATGCTTTTAAAAGCCTCTGACGATCAGGTAACTCAGCTGGGATCATTAGAGGCTTTTAAAAGCATTTTTTTTCCTACAACTTCTTCCACCGAAGAGGTTGCAGAAAAAAATGCTTTTAAAAGCCTCCAACGATCTGGCAACTCAACTGGGATCTTCAGAGGCTTTTAAAAGCATTTTTTCTACAACTCTTTGGCCAAAGTGGTTGTAGAAAAAAAATGCTTTTAAAAGCCTCTGACGATCTGGCAACTCAGCTGGGATCTTCAGAGGCTTTTAAAAGCATTTTTTTCTACAAAGTGGTTGTAGGGAAAAAATGCTTTTAAAAGCCTCTGACAATCAGGCAACTCAGCTGGGATCATCAGAGGCTTTTAAAAGCATTTTTTTTCCCTACACCCTCTTCAGCCGAAGAGGTTGCAGAAAAAAATGCTTTTAAAAGCCTCTGATGATCTGGCAACTCAGCCATTTTTTTTTACTTTTAAAAGCATTTTTTCAGCCAAAGAGGTTGTTGAAAAAATGCTTTTAAAAGTAAAAAAAACAGCCTCTGATGTTCACATGGCTCAGCTGGCATGGGGGGGAAGGCACAGGGATTTTTGCTACCGGTTCTCAGAACTACCACTGCCATCGCTACCAGATCGGGTGATCCGGTCCAAACCGGGAGCATTTCACCCCTGCTATATATATATATAGTTGCAGTTTTACATGCTTTCGAACTGTTAAGTTGCCAGGAGCAGGGGCAAATAATGGGAGTTCACTTTATTACACAGTGGTAAAACTCTAACCTCCAGAACATAGACCTTCTCCATTGTCTACTAAGCCATGAGCCACCATGCCATAAGCCAAGGCTGTCAAACTCCTGGCCCGCAGGCCGAATGCGCTGGCCACACCCATCCCCATTTTAGCAAAGGGGGAAAAAGTCCCAATACGTCACGTGCTGCCATGTGACAACATGAGTTTGACACCCCTGCCGTAAGCTCTGCATTGTGGTGTGATGTCATGCTAGCTACATGACCATGGAATTGTCTTTGGACAGTGCTGGCTCAATGGTTAACAGAAACAGACATGAGCACACACCAGAGGTGGTATTCAGCAGGTTCTGACCAGCTCTGGAGAACCGGTAGCGGAAACTTTGAGTAGTTCAGAAAATTGGTAAATACCACCTCTGACTGGCCCTGCCCCCATTTATTCTCTGCCTCCTGAGTCCCAACTGATCAGGAGGAAATAGGGATTTTGCAGTAACCTTCCCCTGGAGTGGGGAGGGAATGGAGATTTTACAGTATCCTTCCCCTGCCACACCCACCAAGCCACACCCACCAAGCCATGTCACACCCATCAAGCCACACCCACAGAACCGGTAGTAAAAAAAATTGAATCCCACACTGGCACATACACAAATACCAAAGGCGGCTACGACTAGCAGAGTAAAACCCTCAGGAACCACTTTATGTTATATCTATTTCCTTAAGGACTGAAGTTGGGAACATCTGCTCTAATTGTGCAGTGCTTCAGATTAAAGACAAAATGTATTTCACAACTCACAGAAGAATAAATATAGCATCTCTCTTCAACTACTTAAAGCAGACTCATGTTTTTCCAGGATCACTATATGTTCCACAGTTGTTCTATTGTTTAGGGTAGGATTCCCAAACTGTGAAGTATACTTCCCTTGGGGAGGTGCAGACAGAGTTCAGGGGGGGTGCGAAGAACCTTTTAGTTATACGTTGTTATACTAAACCCACCTCTCCCAAAATTTCCCTGTATTGTTTTCAATCTTCATATGTGTTCATTCTGGTGTTTGGATTTTTAGGTGATGTGGGTGCATTAAAATTACACTGAAGGAAGGGGTGATGGCAAAAAGCTTAGGAACCTCTTATTTAGGTCAAAAGATTTATTTTAAAAAAAAGATCACTAGAGTGTAAGTGCATCAGGAACTGGGTAAAGGTTAAAACAAGAAAGCATTTTAAGAATCTTCCCAAAATGATATAATATAAATAATGATATAATTAAGAGCCGAGGTGGCGTAGTGGTTAGAATGCAGCACTGCAGGTTACTTCAGCTCATTGCTAGCTGCAGTTCGGCAGTTCAGATCTCACCGGCTCAAGGTTGACTCAGCTTTCCATCCTTTCGAGGTGGGTAAAATGAGGACCCAGATTGTTCGAGGCAATAGGCTGACTCTGTAAACCACTTAGAGAGGGCTGTAAAAGCACTATGAAGTGGTATACAAGTCTAAGTGCTATTGCTATTGTTATATAGTAAGCCACAGAGATCTATGTATAAGCATTTGGATTCAGAATTAAATAGACAGGGAAACTTCTATGCCATTTCATGAAATGACCAAGAGGAAGTAATTTACTTGGTCCTGGAGAAAAGGTAAGATAGCCCTCTGGAAGTAAGTAAGTAGAAAAGGCCTTTTAAAAAGGAAAGTATGTTCTACTATCAGTCTACATTTATAAACTTAATAAGAAGACCATTTTTAAAAAGACAGTTTAAATGGAAAACCCAATGCATAACTTGGAGGCTGCACACCAGACCCAAGGAAAATAAACAGTGAACTTTTTCTTTATGGTGTAATGATATGAATTTACTCAAACAATTGGAAGGGAAAGAGGATAGTGTTTCAGTTAAAACTTTCTTCAGATAAATCATCTGTGAATGAATTTATCACACCATCTGTTGGAAATAAATCATGCAGTCCTCAAGGCCACAGAGAAAACTACAGCCGTAACCCAGGCATTTAAACAGAAATAATTGGTCTGAATCCTTTAATCCTTATAGCACTATTTACCTTTACACTTAGAAAAAATTATTTGATCTTGCAAGTGAAAATATGAATTAGTTTGTACTTACCATTATGAAATCTATTCTAAAAACCTAGTGTTAATCTCACCCTAAAACATATAATCCAAATATTAGGTATTACCAGTACAAACTATAAAACACATATATGAATTTACATGGAATTATTTTCAAGACAAATTTGATTTCAATCTGTATTTATTCATTAGAAATTGATATTCAAGTATAACATCTAATTAACTGAGCAAAACGTATACTTCATCATACCATTCAATTCTTTTAAGTGAGAAGAACCCAAATCACATATAACCCAAACAAAACAATATATCCTACACATATATAATCATTTGCTTTTTACTAGCAGGTATACTTGCCCATTGATTTTTAACTAGATTATGTAGCCAAGAAGGGATTATAAAAATAGGAAGTAAGCATGTTAGGAAAAAAAATCCATTATCTACCACCTTCCCCAGTCATTTTCTGATCAAATATTTGTATGACTATACACAAATATTAAATTGTTCATTGTTTATGTTGTGTTGTGCTATAGATCTTCAGTATTCCGTCCCCGTTTCTCAGTCTGAGCAAACCCATAGCAACTTATCTCTCTTGATATTTTCAAGTCAATGAAAATGGGGAAGCCTGAGAGACTAAAGACTGTTGGTGTGAATATTCTCTAGTAATAATCCACAGATGTCTCTTGGCTCTTCATAACTAACATTGATGAAAGGGGGTCTGAAATTTCACTTGAATTTAAATCCATATTCTTTTCTGATCAGCCTTGCATATTTCTACTGATTGTCCAATTATAATGGTCCTTCTCATAATACCTACCTTTTTCTGTAAAACATTAATTTTTCTTTCTTTAACTTCTAACATGTCCTTCATATCTCGAATTTCTCCAGCCAGAGTTCCTTTTTCTTCTGTGAGGTCTTGCAGTTGTTTGGTTTTTTTATTAAGAAAACTTTCTTTTTCTTCTAAACGTAATCTCAAGGCATCAACCTATAATAAAACATGAAGATATAAATACATAGAATAATCGCAAAATATCACAACAGTAAAGCCATTGAACATATTTTACATATCTAATAATTTTACAACACAGAGAAAGCAACAGCGATAGCTATTAGTTGTAGATTTTCAAACTGGAAAAACAACCAGTAAGATATTTTTGCAAAAACTTGGAGAAATACCATTTTCTAAGCATTCCAAAAATGAAATTTTAACCCACGGTTGATATGGAGAAACAAAGTACTCTGTAATCCTGTATTATCTGGTATATAAACCTAGAGACAATAGGATCAAAACTCTATTGACATTTTTTAAAAGTCCTGTTTTGAACTCAATGTGATCATTTATCTATATTTATTGTAACCATCATGAAATAATGTACAATGTTAAAGGATCATTTGAATTACAACCATGTCGTATTTTACTAAATAATAACTGCGTAAGATGAATTTCATATACTTGGTTAAATGCTTTAATAACCAAGTCAGTGCTTCTATGGCATAAAAAAGCAGACCAGTAATTCTATTTATATTAATTATATCTTCTTCATTTGGGAACAGCATGTTGTACAGAGAGAAAAGTCTGTGAATAAAACTGATTTATTCTATTTTTTTTGTACTGAGTTTTGTAATGCTAAACTTGTTCTGATGGGGGGGAACATATTTGCAAATCTATTTTTGCAAATCAATTTGGGACCAATTAGGATGATCTATTTGATCTCAAGATGCATGTTCCTTCCTGTTCCTGCAATGGCTGAGTTCATCTCTGTACTCAAGGGAAAAGTTATATGCTGAGTTGAATGGAATTTAGACATTTTATTATTAAAGATCCCTGACAAGGACACCATCAGCCTCCCTTGTGAGTAAGAATTATTTCTTCATTTTTGTTATAACAGGAAAAGAAAGCCCAAAATATTGACTTTAGAAGACATAAAAATACTATCAATGATTAAAAATCCTTTTATTAAACAAACAAATGAAATTGACATTTGGATGACCATGAAACAAACAGGTGAGAATGCAAGAGGAAAGATAAAATGTATTCCTCAATAAATTAAAAACATGAACACATTGTCACTGAAAATGACTAGCCAAATATTTTCAAAGCTATTGCAAGCCTTTAATTGATATTTTTCCCCTTAAAATTGGAGATAAACTATTCTAAATTAGTCACTTATATCCTTTTTGAAGTATGCCATCATTGGAAAAAAGAAAATTAAAAAATTGAGTAAATACATTTTGAAACATTTTTGAGGTTTAACTGACTTAAACTCTAAAACATAAAAATACTTCAGAGTGGATTTGTTTTTCATTCATTAAGTCCCCTCCCCACCCCCAATCTTCCTTTAAGCCTAACAACGATGGGCTGGGTTCACATACCACATGGATTATGCTTTGCTTTAATCATGATTTGAATAAATTGTACTGGCTTATGTCTTGGTTTACACATTATAGTAAGCCATGACATAAGTCAACTAACCACAATATTTGGCATTACACAACTTGTTAACTCAAAAGTAAGGCACACGTGGTCTTAATGCAATGTGTCTTCCCATCTGTTGTTCCCAAGTACTTTCAGGCTACTTACAACCTGTTGTAAATCTCATCAAGAATAATCAGCTCAATAAGGAACTCAATAGATTTTATTTTTATAAACAAATATAGATTTTTAATTATAGTGGTTGGTTTAAAAATGAATGGATCTCTAATGAAGTTTGACATTGCTGTTAAGGAGCTTGGTGGTGCAGTGGACTAAGTGCTGTTAAAGTAGTATTTAGCTGCCAGCGGCCTGCAATTACTGCAAGTTCAAATCTCACCAGGCTCAAGGTTGACTCAGCCTTCCATCCTTTCGAGGTAGGTAAAATGAGGACCCAGATTGTGGGGGCAATAAGCTGACAGTATAAAAAAGAACACCGCTTAGGAGGAGCCGAAAGCCCTACTAAGCAGGTATATACAAAAGTATGAAGGCTATTGCTTAATGCATTGTAAGCCGCCCTGAGTCTCTGGAAAAGGGCGGCATATAAATCGAACTAATAAATAAATAAATAAATAAATAAATAAATAAATAAATAAATAAATGGAGGCATTGAACTGTCCCTATTTTTAAAATGTGAGATCTAATCTTGATATCTGCACCAATGTTTAAAACTACTATTCTTTGATAAATTCACTATTACGCTATTGCATTACCATTGTTGCACTCAACTCTTATATTATATTTTTATTTATTACTTTTCCTTGCATTACTTTTTTTCAAGAAGATAGTAAGGTGAAAAGCAGTGGTGGGTTTCTACTGGTTCACCCCAGTTCAGGCAAACCGGTAATGGCAGCAGTGGGAGGCTCCGCCCACCCTCCCAGATGTCATCATGGACACTCTGCACATGCGCAGAAGTGCCGCGTGCGAGCTAAGCTACCGGTTCCAAACTGGTAGCAAAGGTAAGTGGAACCCACTACTGGTGAAAAGGCTATTTTTTAACTCGGTTTTTCCCTAAATGCAACATAAACTGGACTTGAATTCCATTTCCTAGTTTATGTACCTCGACAATTGGCCCAACCTTTACTTACTTAATTTTCCAGATGTAAAGGAACCGAAGACCTGTTACACAGTTGCTTTCCTAAAGCAATATAAAACTAAGAGTAGTTCTGCCACAAAGATATGAAGCAACAAGTAAGACAGTATCACTAGGGAACAGTTAGCCTATATGCAGACTCTTGTGTGTGGTCTAGCGTGTGCAGACATATATTTCCATGTACAAATGAGACGTGGAATGCTAGTTATTCTCTCAGCCTATAATTTCTCATGCAACTCTGTGCAATTGGGGGGTGGGTGAGAAGGAGAAGTGGGGGAGAGAAAGAGCAGGAGAGAGAATGGTTTTCCCAGCAACCAAACCCTTTTTTGCCTGAACTGTATCCAGCCATCTCCAGGAGGGAAATCAATTATATGCTAAACAAGCATTACATCATTTTTTTTAATTCTTCACTGATGAAGGAAACTTAAAAACTAAAGAACAGCTGAAAATGACATTTTCACTTTGTAAAAAAGAGGGAGCTTTAATAAGATGCTAACCATAAAAAGAAGAAAAAATCTACCCATTCTTCAACAGGGAGGGCAAGTTGACAAATTGAATGAAAACTATTACACTTTTGGTACTAAAGATTACAGCACAGCTCAACCTCAAAAATTAAAGAGAGGTATGGGGAAAGTTTTAAGTGTGATTATAGAATAGGGGTGCATTAGAAATTCAATTTAAATTCAGGCTAATCTAAAAGATTTGGGCTAGTAGATGGATGGAAAAAAATATCATTTATTGACCTTCTAGAAAACTAAAAGCTTTCAAAATCTCTCTTAAATTAACAGTTAAGGAGTAAATGATGAGAATCTGGAAAGTTAAGTGTAGAAAATTTTGTGACTAGAGTCCTTTTGAACCCACATCCATTTCTCTTGACAATGATAACTACCCCTTCCCTAAGCAACTCCTGAAGATTAAGAACCTTTCAGACCAGATTAAATTTTGGTTATGCTTGCATGTCTATGCTTGCATGGAGACACTTCATGACCATATATGCATTCTCCAAGTGTGTCTAACCTGAAGCACGCAATAGGAAATCCGATTAATTAAATGTGGGGAAAAATGCATTATAGACTGCTTTGAGAATTGTTTAAATTGAACCTAAATTAATAACATCATACTCAACTTTACATTGTGGTCATATGAAGGATTAAGGATTAAGATTAAAGAATTTTAAACAAGAAATTCATCACCGGAATCTAATGCTGAATTCATTTTCAGCTACAAATGGGCTAATATGGAATCAATACGGGGTGAAATGCTCCCGGTTCAGACCAGATCGGTCAATCCAATAGCGATTGTGGCAGGTGGTTCGGAGAACCGGTAGCGATGGCGGTGCGAGGCTCCACCCACCCACCCGAGTGTCATTACTTCCTGCTTTTAAAAGATTAAAAAAGGCTCTGACGATCGCGCGCCACAGCTGTGATCGTCAGAGCCTTTTTTTTACTTTTAAAAGCATTTTTCTACAACCTATTTGGGCAAAAAAGTTGTAAAAAATGCTTTTATAAAGTAAAAAAAAAAGTTGGGCATGCCCACCCAGTCACATTACCCCCCCCCAAGCCATGCCCACAGAACCAGTAGTAACAAATTTTACATTTCACCACTGAATCAATAACATGTATTAATACTTAGACATTTTTCTTAATAAACATTCCAACACCAGTTTTACTTCACTGAACTTACCTCACTTTTGAAAATACTTGCTACAAAATTATAGATGTCATTTGTATTTTTAACAACAGCGAAAAGGAAGTAGGTCATTTGTAAATCAGTGTTATTTCACAATGAAATGATAAATTGACAGTATTCAGAACCAAATTTTAAAATAATCAATCAATTATATAGAGTGCAAATAAAACACAAATTTAAATACTTCCATTCTTTTTTCTTTTTTTTTAAGATTCCTTAAGACCCTTTATTTGGAGTTATATTTACTAAATGCCAGTTCATTTACTTTTAGCATACAAGGATGGGATGGGCTGCAGATGTAAATACTGTTAATCCATTTCAAACTAAATATATATATATAGATATTGCTGGATTTACACTTTCTTTAAAAAAAAATTGATTCACATCTTTGAGCAAGATAAAAGTTCTGTATAAGAACTGAATTTTTTAGAATGCTTGCTATGTCTGTGCAAAATTTTAAAGGATGACCTCACTTCCATGAAGCTTTGATAGCCTCTCACTGCCCAGTACGCTCCCATAGAGAGGGGCTTCTCAGGGTGCCATCAGCAGCGGCGGCCCCCAGGGGGAGAGCCTTTTCTGTGAGGGCACCCACCATCTGGAACGAGCTCCCCCCAGAGATACAGAAGATTCCGGATCTGCGCACTTTCCGCCGTGCCCTCAAAACATTCCTGTTTCAGCAGGCCGGCCTGGCCTAACTTTCCCTTTATATTGCTTTTTGATTTTATTTTAAACT